GAAAAATCTAGAAATTTCGACATAAAGTGGTTTGGTTAATTTTCTTCGGCTCGACTATGAAAGATGATTGAGCAAACTATTCTATATAGAAACTTTCTTGATTTTTAATTTTCTTTTAACTCAATGGAATTTCTATAAGAAGTAAGATGGAGCCGGATCGTAGCCTTGCTTCAGTGTCGACGTGAGACTTTGACAAGAATGACTCCCAGCTCTGATGATGTCCATCGAATGTGCAGTACTGAGCTGGTGAGATCGACCAACGAGTCTGTTCTTCATGCACTTTCATACAAAATCAAAAGTAGCCTCAACAAACAACATCCATTGGCAACGAGAGGAGACTGCGACCACACAAAATGCCACAGCATATTGGTATTCATATCTTCGAAAAATAATGTTTATTCAACATGTGAAGTGTCGATTCAGTCGATTGTATACAACTGGCATGTTGAAAATAAACAGATAATTATATAATTAATTTTAAAAAAATCATTTTAGATTTAACTAGTACCCGGCACCAAATGGAAAGTATGAGGAACGTGTGAAAAAATGTTGAGCTCGCCATCCGAGCAGCTTTGTGCTCTTTCACAAACACTATGAGTCTGACAGAAATGTGTGTGTGTTTTACGTCTTAAAGTCGAGTAAAAATTGCCACTCCCATAGTTACGTACAAAATTCTCGGAGCCCAGGAGTCGGCCAATTGTGGTGGCGCGAATCGCAGACTATTGACCGGCGGCTTGGCGTAAGGGATGCCTAGAAACTCCTCGACTGTGACAGACCTTTGGCCAATCTGTACCGTGACCTGACGGCTCTCGATTTTGCCCAAAGTTGTATCCACCTGAAGGGCCGTGCCGGCAGGTATGAGGCCGGCGAGAGTGCAGCAGCCGAGAAGGGTGGACCAGAATGTGACGAACCACCATTTGGCAGAGCACAGACTCCGTCCACGTCTGTCTGGAGGAGGCGAAGGCATGGATATGATTTATGTGACAAGTTTGCTGTACAGCCGGCTCACTTGGTCGTTTATAAGTAGTGCCTCTAGGAGGTAGGCTAAAAATAGCCGATCAACTGGCAGCAATTTGGAGAGCTTGAAGGGTTGCACCTCATCGAAGTGACAGGAAAATTGTGCTTACTTGTGCGTAATGAGAGGTGCGGTCCGAAGAAAAAAGTCAGTCGGCTAGATTTTTGTGTAGCTGAAGTGGAGCTATCAAAGACATTCATAGTAATCCTTTGGCTGAGTGAAAGTCAAAATGCCACAATAAATGAGATCGTGTCGATATCAGCTGGTCTTGTTACGCGCATGATGCTGAGACAAATGCCGGCGGGTCGGCAGTGCTTGGCCTTCGGGGGCCATTTGAGCCTGACGGCTGACGGGAGACGACATTCTGGGCTCCGAGTCCGGTGTACAGGTTCACAATTTGCTGGAAGTGAAGCTCCATTCTGACCAGATCACCGGCTCAGCTGCTGGCCGACCCGACATGACCATCGTTGTAGATACCTATCTATCTATCTATCTATCTATCTATCTATCTATCTATCTATCTATCTATCTATCTATCTATCTA